AAGCTTTGGGGTGACCTGATTGTGGCTTTCCAGGACCTGAAGGAGCTCCAGGAAAGATGGAGAGAGACTATTTCCAAGGACTGGAGTGACAGGACAAGGGGGAATGGCTTTGAACTGACAGAGGGTAGGGTTAGATGGGATATTGGGAAGAAATTCTTGGCTGTGAGGGTGGTGAGGCTCTGGCCCTGGTTTCCCAGGGAAGCTGTGGCTGTCCCTGGATCCCTGGAAGTGTCCAAGGCCAGGTTGGAGGGGGCTTGGAGCAACCTGGTCTGGTGGAAAGTGTCCCTGCTCATGGCAGGGGATGGAACTGGATGATGTTTAAAGTCCTTTACGCCCCAAGCCATGCTATGATTCTAAGTGTGCTGGGTGCTGAAGCCCTGCTGCCTGTGTACACTCAGAAATGCCTGTTCTGAGGACTCACCTCAAGCTAAAATCTCTGTGTGGACAAAAGTAAGCAAATCACACCTCTTAAACTGAGGCAAATTTCCAAAGTCTGTGAGCAGCTCTGAGATTAAGTCATTCTGTGTGCCTTTTGCATAGATGTGCAAATAAAAAATGTGTGTTTTACATGGGCAATGACCACACTGCAAACAAAATCATGTGTAATTGTCACAGACCTATTAATTTCTGACCAATATTACTGTGGTTTCTAGGATGACAATGTGCATGACCATGTGACTAAAGAAGTCCCAGAAAACCCCTGTCACTCTGCCAGCTTTTAGCCACCACAGTTTGAATCCCATCAGTTTGTCTCAGCCCACCTGTGTAGTTTTAATTTATTAAAATAGCTATAGGAGAGCCTTAATAAAATTAGGGACAATCAAGAGCCAGTCAAGTAGAACACTGCTTGACCCATGAGGATAATTACAGGAATTGTCAGAGTGCCAGGGATCATTTAGCTTTGACAGCCAGGATGGGAAGATGGATTCCTGGTGTTCTGGTGTTCCTGCTCCGCCAATATCGTGCTGCCCTGGAAAACTGGCTGTGGAAAACTCCCTCGGTGTAAGGGAGGATGCAGGGAGAAGGTGAGAGGAAGCACTGAAGTAGAAGTTGATCCGTATTTTTCTCCTTTCTCTGAGGTGCCCAGAAAATGTGCTCTGTGGTTCCTTACGGTGATGTGTGAGACAGAAGTAACAGGCACATTATCGGATTTACCCATCACTCAGACGAAATCTTGGCTGGATGTTCTGTACCTGGTGCAATTACCTTAAATGTGGGCTTTGAAGGACGCTCTCATCTCATAAATATTCAGTACCACATCCATAAAAACGTGGCAGAAGAGTGGAGGAACTTGGAGGCACAAGAGCAGCGAGGAAGGTTTATTTCTATGGCTTCTTCTGCAGTTTTCATTGCTATATCTGACCTTCTCCCTGGGATTCTTCACTTCTGTCTGCAGATGTTCTTTAGGTGCCTGGCTGTGACTGATGTGCATGAACCTGTACGTCACAGAGTTGGTTTGGGATTTGCCATCTGTCTGCAGACCAGTTTTGAGAAGACGTAATTAGGAGAGAATGAGTGAAATGGCAGAATTTGTGCCTGCCTCTCCAGCAGTGCGCTTTATCTCTACCAGCTGTTCATTTTCATGCTTTCTGATCTATAATTCCAAAAAAAAAAATAAAAAAAAATACAGTGGTGCTAAAATTCCAGTCCCATTATTTAGAGGCCGTGAATCCTTTTCAGCTTCAGCAAATGGAAATCCTTCTGTCACAGCAACATCGTTTTCCCTGCTCTTAACATTTTCTTAAACTTTGTAATATATTTTACCTTTTTTTTTTTTTTTTGGTAACCAAATTATTTGCTGTGTTGTGGTTGAGAGTAATGGTTTTCACACTTTAAGGTGTGAAATGCTGAGTGCTGTAGTTTCAAGGCATGGCATTAGAAAGAGGTTGTTAAATACAGTGAAAACAGAAGTCTTCCATAAAGAAGAGTTTAACTTAAATAATAATTTTGAAATCACGAATTCTGCTGAGTGTACCCACTCATCCCAGGTTATAGGTGCTTGGTTCTTCCTCTGCTTAAATTTTGGATCTTCATTTAGTTTCTGATGTGCAGCTT